TTTCAACGTCATCTTCAGGAGTTGTAACGTCGAACATTGTATAGTCGTCACCTTTTTGAAGGCCATAGATAGGCCTAAATAAAATGTTTTTAATTGTGTACCAGTTTAACGTTGAATATTATTTATGATTTTAGAAGCTATCTTAATTGAAGAAAACAGCCTCACCCTAAATCAACACCCCGGGGTACCAAGATACCTATATTAGACTGTGAAGCAATATCCGGTCACGTAACTTCTTCGTTCTGTAAACTACTTGTACCGGAGAATGACAAAATCTTGTCGAAACGTCGTACATTCATAATATAGTTTTATCATTTCCGAGTTAAGCCTTCTCAAAACTCTTATATACCCTCCTTTGTAAGGTTCTCCAGGAGATCGGATATGTAGTATGTATACTTTTGGCTACAGAGAGTAAACTAATTTGTTAGTAAAACGATATATATATATATATAGCTAGAATCGCATAGGCGACAAAGATATCGAAATTAATGATTAGGTTGAACAATCGCCAATTTTTATTTTATTTAAAGAAAGATGACGTTTCGAAATAGCGTTCTTCTTTAAATCTTACAGCTTATAACAAAGACGCATGCGCAAAATTCAAATAAATTGCGTCTGTAGTACCTGGAAAGTTGTGCGTGATATTTCTGTGCAAAATTATATCTTTTATATAAATATTGCCAGTCATGAAAAGGTAAAACAGATTGCAATTAAAATTTAAACGAAAATGAAAACCTATAATAAAGAAAAGCGTTCATTTAAACCAGATGGTTGTAGGATCCCCAGATTGTAAATGTGGATTGTTTGTAATTAAGCACGAAGCTACACAATGAGATATCTGTACTCTGCCCAGCAAGGGCATCGAAACCCAGTTTCTAGTGTTGTGAGTCCGCAGACATACCGCTGTGCTACTGGGGGAGGGGGGGGGAGATTGTAGATTAATCACCTTTCTAGTTATTTTGTTTTGTGAATGTCTATCGGAGCACTAATAAGTCCAAGAATCGTAAAGTCCTCAATTACGTGGTTGTGGATGGAGAAATGTTTGCCTATAGCTGTATCTTGGATCCCCAGTTTATATGGATTAGATGTTCTCGTGCTTGATCACCGAGTCGGCAGTCTGTTTGTCCAATGTCTAAACTATTACATGTTTTATAAATGATACATTCAGCGGTACAGTAACGGACTGCCTTATATCGAAAGATGTGTTTTTTTCTCTATATTTATGGTGCTGTTTATATTTGGGCAAGTGACTCACCTGTTTCGTTTACATGTGTGAGTGACTGGAGTATCATTTTGTTATTTCTGTAAGAAATAATGGGTGGGTCC